CTCTCTCTCTCTCTCTCTCTGTTGTGCTGTCATTCCCCCTCTCTCTCTCTCTGCTGATCACAGCCTCCATAGTCTGCGCTTTCTGCTGTTCTCTCTCTCTCTCTCTCTCTCTCTCTCTCTCTCTCCACATACCTACAGTGTCTGGTTGATTACTGGTAGGGCGTTCCCTATTGGTCAAACAGGCAAGCAGCCTTGAAGCATTTCAAAGAGAAGCGGGGAAAAGAAAGAAGAGGAAGGGAGAAAACAAAATAAAAATAAAAATGAAAGGTGACTAATCTGTACTTGTCCTTTCCAGTCAGGGAGTGGTGCAGCGTCGTGCTATTCTGGAAGCCAGGGGCATTTTCGTAATTTGTCTCCGGGTCATCGCTGAATAGTTGAAGCAATCCCAATCGAACTTCCGCTGTCCACTGAGAAGCGTGAGTAGATTCAACTAGGTGCAGATTTGATCAACAACAGGATACGACTAGCTCCTCCATCAACGGATCACAGATCCCATCAACAGTGAAATGTGGCTGTTCGTTTCCTCAGCGGACCAGCTATTCACATCAGCAGTGTAATCCGGTTGTTCCTCCCATCAGTGGTATCGCTATTCACATCAGCTGCGTAACCTGGCCGTTCGTCCCATCAGCGGGATCACTATTCACATCAACAGCGTAATCCGGTCGTTCGTCCCTTCAGCAGGATCACTATTCACATCAGCAGTGTAATCCAGCGGTTTCTCCCATCAGCGGGATCACTGTTCTCATCAGCAGTGTAGCCCAGCGGTTTCTCCCCTCAGCGGGATCACTGTTCTCATCAGCAGTGTAGCCCCGCGGTTTCTGAGAACTTACAGCAAATAGCTTTTAGATAGGTCAATTGTGGTAACCAGACTTCTTACTTTGTAGCCTCTCTCTCTCTCTCTCTCTCTCTCTCTCTCTCTCTCTCTCTCTCTCTCTCACACACACACACACACACACACACACACACACTCTCACTCTCTGTTGTGTTGTCAGTCCCCCTCTCTCTCTCTCTGCTGTGCTCTCATTGCCCCCCTCTCTCTCTCTGCTGATCACA